TTTAAGTTCTAGGGTACATGTGCACAATGTGCAGGTTTGTTACATATGTATACATCTGCCATGTTGGTGTGCTGCACCCATTAACTTGTCATTTACATTAGTTATATCTCCTAATGCTATCCAGTTTTTTCTAGGAGATGGTTTCGCTCTGCCACCTAGGCTAGAATGCAGTGCCACGACTCAAGCAATTATCTTGCCTCAGCCGTCCACGTATCCCACTATTAAGATAAATAACAGGACCAAAAAGGAAGAATGAAAGAACCAGCACCAACAGAGAAACAAAATCTAGGCCACACGCAGTGGCTCACACCTGTAATTCCAGCACTTTGGGAGGCTGAGGTGGGTGGATAGCTTGAGCTCAAGAGTTCAAGACCAGCCTGGGCAACATGGCAAAACCCCGCCTCTAAAAACAGATACAAAAAAATGAGGCAGATGTGGTGGCATGCACTTGTAGTACCAGCTACTCAAGAGGCTGAGGTGGGAGGATCGCTTGAGCTTGCAAAGTCGAGGCTGCAATGAGTGGGTCGAGATCATGCCACCTTCACTCCAGCCTAGGCAACAGAGTGAAACCCTTTTTCAAAAAAGAAAGCCAAAATCTAGTCAGAAAAGAAAATTTCAAAGCAACTTGAATAGCTAATTTGGTTAGGCTTTGTGTCCCCACTGAAATCTCATTTTGAATTATAATCCCCATGTGTCAAGGGAAAGACCAGGTGGAGGTAATTGGATTATGGGTGTGGTTTCCCCCATGCTGTTCTTGTGATACTAAGTGAGTTCTCATGAGATCTGATGGTTTTATAAGGGGCTCTTCCTCCTTTGCTCGGCACTACTTCTTCCTGCCATGATGTGAAGAAAATGCCTTGTTTTCCCTTCACCTTCCTCCATGATTGTATGTTTACTGAGGTCTCCCCAATCATGCTGAACTGTGAGTGGATTAAATGTCTTTCATTTATAAATTATCCATTCTTGCACAGTTCTTTATAGCAGTATGAAAACGGACTAATATGGTAGCTAGCAATTTTAACATAAATTTTCTGAAAGTTTAGACACGGTTAAAACGAAGTATCTCCTTCGGGAAACAGAATTAGGTTTAACCTTTTATTATATATAATGATACAGGCTAGCTATAACACCTATTCAAGACATATAAATACTATTATTAAAACATTTTTTTAATGTACCCATAGACAAACTCGGATCTCAATGAGGAATTACATTCCATAGAACTAGAACAGAAATTTTCCATTTCAAATTTTCAAACATCTACATATAATATAGCCATATCATCTTATGATACCATAAAAATAACACTGGCAGCTTGGTTGCTGGTTATTTTATAACGTATTTTCTCATTTATCATTTGTAGCTAAACACAGAAATTATTTCTATTTATTAACTATTGAAAAGATAAAATACATTTAATGCATGGCTTTACTATTACCACTTAAAACCTAAGGTAGGGCTGGGCGCAGTGGCTCACACCTGTAATCTCAGCACTTTGGGCGGGCGAGGCAGGCGGATCACCTGAGGTCAGGAGTTTCAAGACGAGACTGGCCAACATGGTAAAACTCCATCTCTACTAAAAATACAAAAAATTAGCCAGGCATGGTGGCACACGCCTGTAGTCCCAGCTACTCAGGAGGCTGAGGCATAAGAATTGCTTGAACCCAGGAGGCAGAGGTTGCAGTGAGCTGACACTGCACTCCAGCCTGGCAACAGAGACTCCCTCTCAAAAAACAAAACAAAACAAAAACCTAAATTAAACATAAATTAGATACTCACAATAATTTATCTTGAACGCCTCACTCTTGAAAATGTGACAAACATAGATAAGTTGTTTCTGATAGGTAAGAATTGCCTGTACTTAACTAGTATATGGTCATTAAAGATCTCCATGTGGGGCCGGGCGCGGTGGCTCAAGCCTGTAATCCCAGCACTTTGGGAGGCCGAGACGGGCGGATCACAAGGTCAGGAGATCGAGACCATCCTGGCTAACATGGTGAAACCCCGTCTCTACTAAAAAATACAAAAAACTAGCCGGGCGAAGTGGCGGGCGCCTGTAGTCCCAGCTACTTGGGAGGCTGAGGCAGGAGAATGGCGTGTACCCGGGAGACGGAGCTTGCAGTGAGCTGAGATCCGGCCACTGCACTCCAGCCTGGGCGACAGAGCATGACTCCGTCTCAAAAAAAAAAAAAAAAAAAGATCTCCATGTGTTTTCTAAGAATGCAGAGTCATCATAAAAGAGTCAATTGCTTTAAAAAAAAAAAAAAAAGCTAATTTCAATAGGGAAGGAAATGTAGGCAATAATAATGTGAACTCTACTGTTTTTTGCTCCAATTTTCATAAAAGAAAATGGAAATATTTTTTGGTCTCCTAGACACTTTAAACAATTGCTAAAAAGTTGTCTTCCAGGTTTTTATTTTAACAAAAGTCTACATTATGGATTCTACATGTAACTCATTTAAGAAAGCCAAATGTCATTAACTACTACAATCTATTCAGAATGGGAGACCAAGAGTTGAAAGTAGCCACTGAAATTTTTCTTCTATAATACTCCAAAATAAACCCTGCAATTGTTTCGTCCAATCCAAAAAGGGCTATCTCTTTTTTCATAAACCAGTTATTACAGGTATGTTCATGTTTCCTAAACAAACCAGCAATAAAATGAGAACTATTACCTATAGCCACATTGTAATGGGACTTAAGTTAAATGTATGTTATTAAAATACTTCTCAGAATGGTCATTATTTCTGAGAATCAGTCTTCATATTAAATATTTAACAACTTTAAAGAGGAAGTTAGTATATATTCTTGATTTAAGAGGGAAAAAGTTTTGGTTGAGTTTTCTTAATGTCTTTAATAGGAATTAAATATTTGTTGACACTAGGGATCCTCGAGAAAAGAGAGCACACTTCTAAAATCTAGCCATTAAATCTAGTTTCATACTTTCTAATTTTCTTCAATTATACTTGATTTACAGAAAATTGAAACTAATATAAATGCAGCCACCATCTGGAAAAAATATACGTAATTCATTGGACGTTTTCCTTTCTTGACCGTTAAAAACTCAACAGTTAACTTATGCAAATTAGTAAGAAGGTAAGTTGACAAAAGGGTACAAATGTCACAAAAACCAGGTCAATACCGTTTTGGCCTGGTATTGCTATTTAAGTGAAGACATCCAAAAGGGAGAAATATGACAACTGGTATTTGCTTACTTGCCAATGAACTATTACATAGTGAATTTTAAAAAATAGAAACATTTCTAATTTCCAGTTGTAAGGGAATGAATAGTTAGGCCCATTGTGATGTTAAAATTAAAATCAGCATTTAGTTGTCAGGGAAAAAATGAGGATTACATTAAAATATGTAAGTTACTTAAGTAAAAGAAGTGGGGAAAGTCAAAATTGTATGGAATTGCTGCAATTCTGTCAGAGTAAACTGGTAGGATCAAAAGATTTTGATGTTTATAAACACTTGATGTGAAACGTTTTTCATTTTATTTTACTTTTGCATTGCTTCTGATGTTTAGATGTTCCTTTTTAATGTTTATTATTGTTACCATGCTTTCTATTCAATTGCATATTTTCTACTAAAACTCTTAATATTTAAAAAATATTAAAATCTCACAATCCACTCAACAGAGCGGCTGTCTGAGCATAATTCTATTGATCTCTAGATTTGGAAGAGAAGTTGTCATCTAGTTTATCCCTTCTAAATCTATCGACCACCCACCACCAGAGTCTTTTTGTTTGTTTTCTTCATCTTTGAGAGGGGCTATTACCAAAGCACCACATTTGTTTGGGGAAAGCATTCTTTAATTAAAAAAAAAACTTCCTTAGACTGAAATTCACCTCCCAATAACCTTCACTAATTTGGTTAATTTGGTATCAGTTCTATATTTTAGTCTACACAAATCTTATTTTTCTTCTACCAGACAGTGGTGCGATTGCTGTATTTTAGGTCAGGTACTATGGATCTTTAGAAGGTTCGCGGCGAAGCAACCCTATTTACCTCAGAATTATCTTAATTAATGTTTGCACTCCCTGATAACCTAGGACACGGGAGTTCAATACTTGTTGATGTCTTCACCATCGGTCTGAGTTCCGTTTAGAAATATCCCCCTTACAACCAAACTCGGTCTGAGTTCCGTTTAGAAATATCCCTCTTAACAATGAAATGCTTGTAACTCAACACCATCTCCCGAGTGCTGACTGCATTCTGGAGATTTTCATCCTTTAGATGTGAAATCCTCATGAGTTCTGTGGGTTAAGTGAGGGCCCTTAAGTATAGAACGTTACATATATTCACTAAAATTCATTTTCTAAGATTTCACCCCCATACCGGCCTTCGAATACTTTCTTGGGTAAGGTACCTTTCTTCCAACTTAAGTTCCCTCAGCAGGCCCCGGGACCTAGAAACGGAGGTGACCTCAAATACCCCCATGATAGGTCAATTCTAACCTGAGGGAATGGAGGTTATCTCCTAATTTCGTAACTAAATAAAACGGTCATATACGTGTTACGTGTAAGTCTATATTTCTCTCCCACACACTCCCACCCAACCCACACGCTGAGGCTACAACCCAGCCGATAGCTGGGGCTGCCTGTTACATGAGGCCTTAGATAACGACGACTTATCTCGCTTTAAAATAAACAAGTACGCTACAGAGCGCGATGAGCAGGGCAGGAGATGAAAGAGACTGGCCTGCTCCCAACTCAGCACCTTCTAGCACCTTCTCTGCAAAAACCTGGTATCTTGCCACGGAATGACACCGGAGACAACTCCGAGGACAAAAGACTCTGGCACTTCAAGCACCTGGAGGCAGCCTCACAGGCGTTCCCCAGACAGCTGCGCCTGCGCGCGCCCACCTTCCTCTGCGCGCGGGGATCACGTGCCAGGCGCCGAACTCCGTTCCGCCCCTTGGCCCTAGGATTTTTACGCCTCCTTCCCCCGCTTGGCGAGCGTGCAAGGATGGGGACTGGCTGATCGGGGAGGATTACCTGTGAGCCTAGCGAACCCGGTAATGCTTTCAGGAACTGGGAGCCGCTTCAGATATGCGGGGAGCTGCACCTTCACGATGCGGGCCACGCTCTCCAGCACCATCCTGGCCAGCGGCGTCCACTCCTCTCCTGAGCCCCCTCCGTTCTGGCCAAGCTGCAGCGCCTGCGCCGAGAGCGGAAGCGGCCGGCGGGCACTCGCGGCCTGGGCCTGGGCGGCGGGCGGGGCGGCGGGCCCTGGGAGGAGAGGTGACCTGCCGGGCGCCGATTGGCGGAGGGCGAGTGACGTACGCTCGCGGCGGACTGCCGAGCCGCGGGAACCGGCGGGTAGCTAGGCCCTCCTTGGAATCTTGTATGAAGGTGGCCACCCTGTTGGGCCTTTAACGTCTGTAGATGCTGGAGACCCGCAGAAAGGATACTGTGTACGATGAGTTAAGCATGTGAGAGTGCTTTCTAACCGGAAAGTGCCTTTCAAAAGTGAGTCTCTTGCTGTCTCCACTTCGTCCCCTCTCGCCCCGCCTCTTCCCCTACAGTTTGGGTTCTGTGGCCCTAGGGTTGCATACTCGTCCATGAGTATCCTCGCCCTACCCAGACCCCTGTGCCTAAGTTTACTCTTTCACCCCAAAAGCCAGGCTTAAAAAAATAAAAATTAAAATATTTTAACTAAACCAGGAACTGCTTACATCTCTGCCCCTTGGCAACTTAACTGCAGTCCTGGCTCCAAAACCTTTTCTGGTTTTTGCCACTCAGAGAAGATTCGTAGTAGTCCTTCCTTAGGTATTTTCACTTCCTTTCCCTTCGGGAAAGTGGTAAAAGAATCTAAAGCCGATCGGGCGTGGTGACTCACGCCTGTAATCCCAGCACTTTGGGAGGCCGAGGCGGGTGGATCACGAGGTCAGGAGTTCGAGGCCAGCCAGGCCAAGATGGTGACACCCCGTCTCTACTAAAAATACAAAAATTAGCAGGGCGTGGTGGCGGGTGCCTGTCACAGCTACTCGGGAGGCTGAGGCAGGAGAATCGCTTGAACCAGGGAGGCGGAGGTTGCAGTGAGCCGAGAATGTGCCACTGCACTCTAGCCTGAGCGACAGAGTAAGACTCCGTCTCAAAAAAGAAAAACAAAACAAAGAGTCTAAAGTCTCATGTACTGTTTTCTTTATGTTGCAAGGCTTCTGCTAAAGTCTAGAGCAGGGGGTCCAATGTTATGGCTTCCCTAGGCCACACTGGAAGAAGAAGAATTGTCTTGGGCCACACATAAAATACACTAACACTAATAGTAGCTAATGAGCTTTTAAAAAAGAATCTCATAATGTTTTAAGAAAGTTTACAAATTTGCACTGAGTGGCATTCAAAGCCATCCTGTTGGGCAAGCTTGATCTGAAGTATTCCTGAAGGTTTTAATTTTTTTGTTGTTGTTACAAGGTCGCCCTCTATCGCCCACGCTGTAGTGCAGTGGTGAGATCATAGCTCATTGCAGCCTCTAACTCCTGCTTAAAGGATCCTTCTGCCTCAGCCTTCCAAGTAGCTGGGTCTGCAGGTGTGTGCTACCACACCCAACTAATTTTTAAAAATTTTGTGTGTATGTAGATGGAGTCCCATTATATCCACCCAGGCTGGATAGTTGTTTTTATTAATATCTCTAAAAGATTTGAAGGGTAGGAGGAGAAAATTTCAGTCCCTTGAAATAACTTTCTTTCTATGACTTTGTTTCATATTTTGGCTGAAGTCAAAATGTCCGAAGTCGTGCACTTGCTGATTGGATAATATTTGTGATATCTTAATAACGTGCCTCATTATTTACAGTTCTACACTTAACTAACAACATGTAATAACGAACTGCTCATGGTCCAGTGTTTCATTGTGTATGACAGTGTAACAGCCAGTTATAATAAATACTTTTTATTTTTCCCTTGGTATTTTTATTTTACAGTGAGAAAAGGAAGAAATTTTTTAAAGCAATCTTTTAGTCTCTGGACTGTATAAATTTAGTGTTTGTGATTGTCCTTCACTAAAAAAGAATAACTGTCAGTAATAGAGTTGACCGAAATCTAGATTAAATAATTTTCTATCATTATAACATGTTCAAAATTATTAAAGTAAAATTTACAATGGAAATGCTACAAAGATGTTTAGATACATGTTCATGTTTTTGAGCTAGGGCAGTACAGAAGATGATATATACAAAGTGATGTTTAAAAGGTTGATGGATTTCCTTTAGAGAGCTTTAAGTTTGGGGGTAAACCCTGGAGCTTTTTTATCCTGAAGATGATGGAATTTGAATATCCTTGTCCTCTGGACTATTCTGTTAGCTGTTATCTTTAATCTCTCTGGATCTAATGTAGAAGCACCTTTGGGTACAACTGGATACCCTAGTTGAGGTAGGGGTAGGTTGGAAGTGGGGTGCATTAGGGGAAGAAAATCTTGGAAAAGGCCATTACCTATTCGTTTCTTCTCTTAGAGGATCTGTCATCTTGACAAGGGCAAGACGTGCTGTGTTGAGTTCATTTTTCCCCTTGGTATTTTAAACTGAGAAAAGGAATTTTTTAAAGCAACTTTACATTCTCTGGACTGTATAATTTTAATGTTTGTGATTGTTGTGCGTTAAGAATAAGACTTCCAAGCAGTTTTTCTTTAAAGAATTAAAAAATACATACCTCAATGGTATAACATAGTAAAATGCTCAAGTGCCAAATGTACAGTTCCAGGTAACCAACATCCACATCAATACATAGAATGTTCAACAGAGGCGTTTTTAAAAAGTGCCCCTTCTAACCACATCGACCACCATTACTATTATTCTGTATTGCTGTGCATGTTTTTGACCCTCACATAGAAGTAATTTTACAGTACGTAATTTTTTATGGCTGGCTTCCTTCCTCTTAGCAGTTTATTTGAATAGCTGGTTTGTTATTTTCAAGTAGAAAAAATGTAGTGAATGCAAGTCTATACGGATAAAACTTTTTTGGGAGGCCTTGAAATTCAGAGAACAGGTGTGGATAATATATTAGGTATTCTGATGCATTACATGAGCTATGCAAATGTATAAAAGGAGATAATTCCTAACTCCACCAATTTAAAAAATCTTACCCACTTAAAAGGAATATTTTCTTAAATTCCCTTTACTTAAAATTTAACTCCTGTTTTCATTTATATTTGTATTTAATTTCCACAACCCTGCCTTCTTGGCTGCACATGAAACATGGTCTAAAGATAATATTGCTATAAATAGAAGTAATAGGCTTATCTGATCACCTTATGAGATAGTGTTTTTAGACTCCATCTTTAAAAGACATAAACTGTGGTCAGAAAAGTCAAGATAAAGTAAATATGTAAATACAGTTAAAGGAGTCATTATTTACTCTCAAGCACTTGAGTGAGGATCACTAATCCTCTGCCTGTCCTAGCTAGGCCCAAGACTTTTATTTCTTTCATGCTTTTATCCCATTAGGTCATCCAGTGCCCCAAATTCAAATATGATCATTAAGTTGATATAGCCCAAATCTCTATTTCCAGCCCAGATTTCTTTAGGCAATCTCAATTCTAGGAGTCTAATTCCAAATGCCTACTAGACTTCTCTTGATATCTTTGCCCACTGTGCTACTGGTTTGTTCATCAGTTTCACTGGTACATGTTTTCTGGAAAATATTACCTTGTTGGTTACATTCGTTGCTTATCTTTTCCTGTTGCTTATCTTCTAGTGAATATCTTTTTGTTTTTTTGTTTTTGTTTTTTTTTTTTGAGACAGTCTCTGTTGCCTAGGCTGGAGTGCAGTGGCGTGATCTCAGCTCACTGCAACCTCCACCTCCCAGGTTCAAGTGATTCTCCTGCCTCAGCCTTTGGTGTAGCTGGGACTACAGGTGCCCGCCACAACACCTGACTAATTTTTGTATTTTCAGTAGAGATGAGGTTTCACCATATTGGCCAGGCTGGTCTTGAAGTCCTGACCTCATGATCCACCTGCCTCTGCCTCCCAAAGTGCTGGGATTACAGGCGTGAGCCACCGTGCCTGGCCATGTATGTCTTTTTTTAATACTGAAATTTGTTTGGGTGTAGCCAAATTTATTCGTCTCTTTCTTTATAATTTGTGTTCTGGGAGTCTTGTTTAAGAAATCTTTTTCTACCCCTAAATCACAACGTATTCATCTGTGTTTTTGCTAAAACTTTTAAACTTATAGTCTTCATATTAGGGCTTTACTCTACCCAGTATTTACTTTTTGTGCTTGAGAAAGGGGTCTACTCTCATTTGTTATTATTTTACATACAAACAACTAATTGTTCTGGCACCATTTATTGAAGAGTTAAACTTGTTTTTGTGGTTTGTAATGTCAGTTATCTCAAATCAGGTTTCTAAACATCCCTGGGTTGCTTATTCTCTTCCATTGCTGTATTTGTATAACCTCTATAACAATACCATACTGTCATAATTACTACAACTATATAAGTGTTAATATCTAGCAAGATAAGCTTCCCCACCTGTTTTCTTCAAATTGCATTAAGAATGTCTGACCCTTTTACTACTCTATGAATTTGAGTCCTCTTGTCAAGTTGTATGAAAAACTTAACTTTTTACTGAAAATTAATTAGGGCCTCAGTTTTCTTCTCTGTGATATGGTGATACCAGTGGTTATGACTAGATACAATTAATTTTGTAATATACTCAATGAATGGTTATTATCATTATCGTCTTTACCATCAATGAATGACCCTTTACTCTGGCTTTGAGACCCTAAATTCAGAAATTTTACCTCTGACCACAATCTCACATTCTGGTACATTTTTACTGCCACTAAACATTGATTTAGTTTTGAAATTCTCTCTTTTTCTATTCTGTTAGCCCATTCCTGGATTTATTTATTTTTCTCATTCCTCACAAAAGTTGTTCAAATCTTCACTATTCTACATTAATAATTATGTCTTCTATTAACATTACCAGGCTTATTTTGAACTCAGATGACCTTGATTTTTAGTTACCAGAGCAGCTTTTTTCACCATCATCTCTACTTGGTCATAATCCCTTCTATACTTAGCTTTTGTTCTGTTCTCCAAATCTAACTGCTCCCTGTATTCTAGAGCTGAATCCCTTTAAGACCTTGCTCCATCAGTTACTTCTCAAATTTTCATTTTTTTGTTCTTTACTGGCCCTATAAATTGTTGATTTCCAGGCTTTTAGATTTCATCAGCCAATAAATTTTTAAATTGGGAAGCCAAGATAGGTTTAGCAATTTTTTATTTGGTCAAGAAAGGGCATTTAATAACAATATAACAAAACACTACTACCGTCTACTTAGTGCAAGGAATTACATACAGCATTATAGTTAAGACTGTAGACTCTTGGAGCCACACTGTTTGGACTACAATTCTGATTCTACTAGGATAAATTATATAACTTGTAAAAATGTAGGTAATACCTACATCTTAAGGATGTATTGTGTATATGCACTGAATTAAGACATAGATAGCAATTAAAACAGCAGCTGGCA